GCCGATACGTCCCCTTTTCAGTTGAAGGCAGTAAAACTAATTTGGGTCACCACGCCACCATAAACAGGTTACAGAGGCAATATAACCAGCTCTGCAAGATATGTGACGTTGATATTTTTGCTGATAAGCCTCAAAAATTCAAACGAAAAATTATGCAATCCCTTACTTTTAACTAACATTTAGACCTAGTTTTAAATTTATAGTTGTGTTTTAAAAAACATATTCGTTGTCCACATTGCATGCCGTGGCAACTTTTAATTACGACGACACTTAGATATAAACCTTCCTGTAATTTGTAGTATTTACATTGTGTTCGTGTACGTCTTGTTGGTTGTGCTAAATAAATAAAAAAAAAATCCTTTTTATTAAGTAGGTTATACTTCAGGGGTGGTCCCATGTGTGTAATAATAAGAAAAAATTCCACCTCTAAGGGAGACATTTTTAATGTATAGATTTCTTCCAGTCCACTCAGAGTCAAAAAATTAACCGTTAAATAAAAGTAAAAGTAGACTTCGATGAGCTAAAAATAAATAAGTTAACAAGTACAATCATAATATAACAGCAGTGTGGCTATACCTACGTAACTCTCGGTCTCCTTAGTCCTTACGCAGATGGTACGATGCATACATTGTACATAGTAGAGCTGCAACTATATTATGGTTGCAGCACGAATGGGTTGGCTCGACCGCGGTTGGACCACGGTCTCACAGAATATCAACGTAAAATATTAACTCAATGCTGATGTGTTTCGTTTAGTGATAGTAGAGAACCGGAGCCCTTTTTTGCCGGAGACAAGACATTCCACCTTAGTTGTTGTGACAACTGACAACGCATCTACATTTTGATTTTATACGTGGTAGAGCCATGCAGCAGACCCATTCGTGATACAACCATAATATATAGCGTATTATGGTTGTATCACGAATGGGTCTGCTCGACTGGGGAGGGACCACGCTCTCGTTGAATATCAGTGTAAAATAACAGCTTAATACTGCTGTGTTTCGTAAGGTGAGTGTAGAAATCCGAAGACCCTTTTTTACTCGAAACGAGCCATTCCATGTTAGTCCTCAGGAGTTACGCATCTGCGTATTGATTCTTAATCGAGGATAAATGTAGATGTCTATGGGCCGCAGCATCCACTTACCATCAGGTGGGCTGTGAACTCGTTTATTAACCATATTCTATAAAAATATCCGTGTTCTACAAACGATTATCATGCCCTATCAATGAGTTAAATTATGGTTAAAACTCTAAAGTTAAAACGTCGCTGTAGAGAGTAATAGTGTTCTGTGGTGTAAACAGTAGTAAACTTACTAAAAATGTCATCTGAAATGGCATTCAGTCACCATTGATTTTGGCGAACATTGATCGCACATTATTTCTGAACAATAGTAAAATCTATAAAACTGTATTACGTGTGTGTAATGAATTATAAGAATTATATAAATGGATTTTCAATAAGGGCTTAATACAGGACGGGTAGGTATTGAAATGAAATAAAACAAGCTGTCTGTGATGTATTATCAAAACTCTTTTTTTTTGTTCGAAATGCCCACATTATGTGTGGAATATGACCTCGGCTTCTTACAGTGGCACGGATCCGAGTGGTCAAATTTTCAATGTTTCTTCTGCATAGATCCAGCTGTATTTGAGCGATGGCCTGTGTTATATTCACCTTTGGTCGATTGTGGTATGTACAGCTGACGGTACCGTAAACAAAAAAAGTTGTCATGTTTATCTATTATATAACATAAACATGATGACTATTTTCTGTCAAATTGAGCAAAAATAAGTAGTTTGTTGTCCTGTACACAGAAATTGAGAGCAAGCAAGTTGATAAAATGCATACTATAAAACAATTTATTTAGTAAAGTGAAATAATAACAGTGAACGTTATTACACGACACGTTAGGACACGTTCCTAGTCCGATACAATTATAAAATATTTTAATTAAATTTTTATAGTTTTATTTTACATGTTTATTTACATTACATTTAAAATATTTCATTTATTCATTTCATTTTCATTCATTATTTTACATTTAAAATATTTTAAATACGTAAAACATTACGAAGGCGCTGTTATCGGTACTAATATGATGATGCTTGGGGCGCGGAGTGAGGGAGCGCGGCGGGAGGTAACGGCATTCTTGGAGTGAACAAGTAGTACTAGTACCTGCGACTTTAATAAACTCCACAAGAAAAAGTCTAGCGGGGTCATTGCATGACCTTGGTGGCCAATTCACATAATTCCTGCGAGAGATAAGCTTACCCTCAAATCGCTCATGGAGAATGTCAATTGTGGCGTCCGCTGTGTGGCACGTAGTGCCGTCCTGCTGGAACCACATGTCGTGTAGGTGCACATGGTTCAATTTGGACTGTAAGAAATTGTGGGGGTTTTTCTCCACCGTGTTTTTTTCGGGGAACCCAATTAAAAATATATATTTTAATATTAATAAAAAATCAATTTTGTTTTTTATTGTTTTTTTTTTTCTTTTATTAATAAAAATTATTAAAACCAAAAAAACAAAACCCCTAAAAAAAAAAAAAAAAAAAAGGAAGGGGGGAGTTTGTGGGCTATTCTTTGTTCCCATAAAAAATTTTTTTTTTTTTGCACCATTGATTATCATCGTTCTGTAGCGCTCGCCGTTGACGGTGACCGCCTCACCATCCTCGTTTTCGAAAAAGAACGGACCAATGACGCCGCCGGGCCTAAATCCACACGAAACGGTAACTTTTTAAGAATGCATTATCACCTGGTGAACCTCGCGTGGGTTGGTGTCGTACCATATATGGCAATTCTGCTTATTAAATACAGACATACATCCAAAAATGCGCCTCGTCGCTAAAGACAATTTTTAGGCCAAAATTGGGGTCCTCTTCCAAACGATTCGAAGTCCAGTCAGGGAACAAACGGTGTTGTCTAGTCATGAACTTTGAGCTCGTAGATATGTACATTTATATTCAATTAAGAATCAAAATGCAGATGCGTTGTCACCCCTTTTTTTTTGCGGATGGAAAATCATCTAATGACGCCTTTCGCTCTGGGTGGAGCGTAAGGGAGTGCCAGACTTTTACTGACTAAAAACCATCCGTGTTCCTTCAGTGCCCTTACGTTCCGGAGCCGCGGTATCTCTTTCGAACAGCCCGCAGCCCCGGCAGGCGTCGGCCCTTGCGGGCCCCTTCACGCTGCTGACAGCTCTTTGAGGCGCGTGTGGAACAAAACGCGCCGTCGACACGGCCTGTCGTCGTTAGACGGACGGACGGCGAGCTACCCGTTGCTCGCCGTCCACAGGCCCGCGCCTACGGTGGCCGGGGGCCACGACGTAGCCCCCGACGCCCGGGGCGTCTCCCGGGCGCGGGGGGAGGAAAGCTGCTGCTCTCTCCTTCTCCCGCTCCGCCACCTCCTTCGCTAGCATCACTGTTTCGCAGAAGGTGGTGACGGCATCCCATTCCGTCTCGCTCCGGACCATGGCTATGACCAGGGTCGGACGCGAGAGGTCGCCGCCGCCTATCGCCGCTACGAGGACACGGCGGTGCTCCGCCCAAGCAGGGCACACCTCCACGGTGTGTTCCACCGTGTCCTCCGGTCCATCCTCGCAGTGGGAGCACCCGGGCGATTCCTCCCGCCCGATTCGGTGCAGGAACCTCTCGAACACACCGTGTCCGGTGAGGACCTGCGTCAGGCGGAAGGTGAGGATGCCGTGGCGTCTCTCAAGCCACTCCTCAAAGAGGGGTCTTATCGCCGCTATAGTGGCGTGCCCAGCACGGGGTTGCGACAGTCGCTGTCTCCATGTCGCCATGTGCGTTGTCACCCCTGAGGAGTAGATGAAACTTGGGTCATTTAGATCTTGTACGGGTGTAGGCCTAAGTCCCGACGAAAAATTCGCAAAGTTGAAGTCTGCAAAAGGCCGAGTTCTGTTGTACACTTCAACGAATCGCGACGATGTTCTCGGCCAACCTTGCGTTCCTTAAACATACGGGTGTTGGCTGATTGTTTGCATTGGCAAATTTGACCACCAAAAGCTGAAGATTCGACTGTGAAAAGCCGCCACGTACTCTAAAATGGACGCAATGCGTGCAACGTTTGCACTAACGGACACTCATTTTGATAAAAAGTTTTATCATTTGAACGTGCTATTCAATCGTGTAACTTGCCATGGTGATTTGGCATTAGTAATTGAAGATTTGAATAATAAACAAAAAAATTGTTGATGTCACCAAAACCGACAAACAAATGGCCGCCAACACCTACCAGTGCCAATTGATAACCCCTTTATTTTATAGACATTGAATCAATTTTTATGTAAGTATGAGGTTGATATATTTCATATGGCAGAATCTCTGGAGGACTTCAGCACTATGCTCAATGACTTCAATTATGCCTCCCAACGGATGTCCAAAACAAAGATCATGTTGTGTAACACCCATGTCACTAAATCTACGACACATCTCGTCAGGTATATACCCCAAAACTTGAAAACTAGATTGTACAACCATTGCGTGTTGCCTGTCATGACTTATGAATCAGAGACACGGTCCTTCACTGCTGGCCGTTAGAGGAAGCTCAAGGTCGCTCGGCGAGCTATGGAGAGGGCTTTGTTCAGGGTTTTTCTGCGTGATAAATTTAGAAATGAGGATATCCGCAGTAGAACCAGAGTGAGCGACATAGCCTAACGAATTGTTAAGTTGAAGTGGCCAGTGGGCCGGCCATATAGCTTAAAGAACGGACAACTGATGGAGAAGAAAGGTTCTCGAGTGGCAGCTTCGTACCGGTAGGCGAGGTATCGGGCGACCCCCCACTAGATGGAACGACAAACTGGTAAGACATGCAAGAAGTCGATGGATGCAGGTGGCTCAGGACCGTGCTTTGTGGCATTCGTAGGAGGAGGCCTATGTTCAGCAGTGATCTTGTGAAGGACTGTAATGATGATGTAATGATGATGATGAGGTTGAAAAAAAATTTAAAGACAAAGTTTTTCGATATCAACATTATTAGTTTATTTACTGAGTGCGTAAATGTGTCCAGTAATTGGGTCAACGGTCAAAGTAGGTGGCAATTCTGCAGCCATATCAGCGAGAGCTTCCCATCGAGTAGCACGACTACATTCGGACTGACTTGGGCTAGCTGAATCCTGGGGTTCTTCTTCCCTGTAACAGTTAAAGTACAGCCTATATTACATCCGACTCGGCCCATTCCTCTCACTCCTGAGATGGTCGTAAGTTGAAGCAAGAAGTCCGCCGCGTTGCTCCAGGGCGTGTTTGTGGACTTCAGACGACTTACAAATATTTTATTCGTCAGACTCAGATATTATGCAGGTTTCTTTACAATGTTTCCTTTATCGCATGTTTTTCTTCTCTGTGATAATTACTAATATTACCAAAATAAAAATTATAATATTATAACATCTTTATTGTTATAAAATTTGTATTTTTCGCACACAACAGTGTGTAAGGGCGATTATTGTGTATATTTATACAAACCATTTCAAGCCACATTCTAATCCCCATATCAAGGGAATATAATAACTTCTTTTCATCCCCATAACTCAGACCTAACACAACAAAGTAAGACCTATAATATATAAATTACAAATTACATAAATTACAAAAATCTCTCGTCAATTTAACGCAGCCCTCAGCATCCGTTTCCAACTGCCCATCGCCAATTTTTAATAGTGTGTCAGCATAGTTTCCAGCATTGACATCATTATACAAATGCACTCTCATATTCGTAGTTAAACTGAATTTTGTCGCCTTGTTCCATAAAATAGACGACTTGGTATATACACTTGTAATTCTAATAAAGACGTCTATTGAGGACCCCTTGAACATCTAGAATTCAAAATTTCATGGATAAAATTATAGTTCTCAAGTTATTAACATCTGAGAAATGTCGTTTTTCAAATCATCATCAAAATCCTATTATTTAACTTCCAGCCTCCCGAAAAAGCCGGTTTCTGAAAAGGCTTTATTAGTACCATAGATCATATACACGCCCTTTGGCAAATTGTATAGATCGAAGAGTACAATCTGCCACTTTGTCTTGCGTATGTGGCCTATGAGAAACCGAGTAGAGAACCAGAGAACGAAACCTATCCTGCAAGTGCGGAATGGTGAAATGCAGAGTGAAATTATATTCCCGAAGTCTTCACCGCTACATTGGAAGAAATTTTCAAGTTACAGAAGTAGAAAGATACTTTATCAAGATCAATGGCGAGTACGTGACTCACCCTCGATTCGCCGACGATATAGTTAGTTGTTATGGCAGAATTACTGGCTTCTTGCCTTCATGATATTGTTACGAGCTTGAGGTTTGTGCCAATAAAAACTGCCAATTGATTTACCAAAATTTACACTTTAATTCACTTTACACTAATTAAAACTTAAAACACTAATAATTAACCACACTGATTCACTTTATTTCGCTCCGAAGCTTCGCTTGTCTCGCCAAATTCAATACTGCCCCGACCGCGTCTTGCAGCGCCTTTAAAAACACATTTTCACCGAAAAACGCGCCAACCGAGTGTGGGGGCTTCCAGAAAGCTTAGTTCTTCTGTTCGATACTAGATGGCGCTGTTGGTCGAAAGATTAGTCATGTCATTTTCTGGATAGTTCTCCTCGCTTTGTTACCCAACACTAGATGGCGCTAGTGCCAGACGTCAACTTAGGCGCGCAACACTGCCCCCTCCTAAGACATGCTTGTCCCGAGCATTATCGGCCCCATAATAACGCGCCAGGCGATTCACATGGACGATCTTAGGAGTCCCTCTTGCGCCTTTCTATATCCGATAGGTTACATCGTTGATCCTAGTCACAATCCGTTACGGGCCGTCCCATTTAGCTTGAAGCTTAGGAGATTTCCCTTTGCTGCGGACTGGATTGAGCAACCACTCTAGTGAACCTTCGTCGAACCCCTTGTTGTTCATTTTGCGGTCATATCGGGTTTTCATCTTTTCGGACATTTGCTGGCCCGATTGTCTGACGTGCTCACAAATGTCATTCATTTTGTTCTGCAAGTCATTTGGATAATCGGTTATACTGCGTATCTATACCTGCGATCAGGTCTGCAGGCAGCCGTAATTCTCTTTCAAAGTTTGCGAAAGCTGGTGTCAATGATGTACTTTCGTGAACAGCGCTTCGATATGACAACAAAAACGGTTGTATGTGCTTGTCCCAATCTCGTTACCGATTGTCTACAACTTTTGCCAGGTACCTCTCCAATGTCTGATTAAATCGTTCTACCATTCATCAGATTGCGGGTGATAAGAAGTCGTTCTTGTTTTATGAGTACCCATAACTCGGCAAGTTTCCTGGAATATTTGAGACTCAAAATTCCTTCCTTAATAGCTGTGAATCTCTAAAGGTACTCCAAAACGACAGAAGACTTCATGAACTAGTTTATCTGCAACTGTTGAAGCTTCTTGATTTGGAATGGCGAAGACTTCTGGCCACTTAGCGAAGTAATCCATCACAACCATGAAATACTTGTTACCGCTTTCACTCTCCCGGAAACGGCCACGCCACGTCAATGGCTATTCTCTCCCATGGTGCAACAACATTGTACAACTTCAATGCGCCTCTACTAATCTGAGGTTCCTTTACAGCCGCACAACTTGTACAATTGCGACATCAGTCCTCGACATCGTTTCGACAGTGGACCCAGTAAAACCGTTCTCGGATCTTCAGTAGAGTCCGTTTAACTCCCAGATGGCCTCCTGAACAATCATTATGGTACAGCTGTAGAACATCCGGTACTCTAGCTTTAGGGACGACCATTTGCAAATGACAGCTGTCTCCCCGAACATTTTCCCATTTACGGCACAGAACTCCATCCTGAAGCAGCAAGCTGTCCCATTGGGCCCAATAGCTTCTAGTGGTCGAACTCATCGCTGAGACGTCGCTCCACTTAGGTTTGGTAGCACGGGCGTTCATCCATTCCAGAATCGGCTTGATGTTCGGATCTTCCTGCTGTGCATGTCGTAGGCTGTCCTTCCACTCGTTGCTGAGGTGGTCTGTCCTGAGCATCCTCACGGATACCACTTCCTTACTCTCTTGCCTAGTACAATGTTTGCAATCTTCAGGACAAGGTCTTCTTGACAATGCATCTGCGTTGCCATGAGATTTCCCGCCGCGGTGTTCATCACAAAGTCGTATTCCTGCTGCTGGGCGGTGCTGTTAGTCGCACAACAATTACTCTCGAGATCGATCACCTTCCCTTTTTACAGATCGCTTAGGGCAGCTGGGTCGACGATGGCCCCTTTCCCCACAGCCGTAGCACCTTGGGCTGTAATTTTTATTGTGGTTGCGAACTGTAACTGCTGCAACCTCCCTAAGGAGGGGAAGACGCCGCCATCGACAGGATAATGGCCCTTTCCACAGCCATGGACCGGTTCCTTTGTGCCCGACGCGATGGAACGATGATCCTGCCGCACGGCTTCCACCTCCAGTGCATGGGCCAAGGCGTCCTTAAGCGTCTCGTGGTGCCCGAGCCTCACAGCAGCTCTGAATTCCAGGTCGCGGATGCCGTCGATGAATGTCTGCACCAGGTTCCCTGTTGCCCAATGAGCGCAGGTACAGAACGGTATGCTTTTCGCACCAGCTTCTCCACCTCTAGAGCCCACTGCTGCAGGTTTTCGTTGATGCGCTGCACGCGATCTTTAAGCTGCGCACGAAAGACGTTTTCCAGGTGAGCGTCGCCATATCTCAGCCAAGGAGCTGCTCATAAGTCACTTCCTCACCGAGAGCTTCCAGAACAGTTAAGGCCTGGTCACGCAGGCCTAGCGTGAGAGCAGTCATGGTCTGACTTTTATTCCAGCCGTTCGCTTTCATGACAGCCTCGAACTGGATTTTGTAGGCCGACCAGGAAGAAGTCCCGTCGAACGGCGGCACTTTGAACCCACGTAGCGAAGGTGTTGTAGCTACTACGGGAGCTGTGACTCCATCGCCCAGTTTGAGGTCGTCCAGCGTTTTCTTTACGTCAGCCATCACGTTGTCTACCCGATTGTTCACTTGGTCGATTCGGGTTTTAGCTTTCGCAATTTGGGTTTCAGCTTCCGACAGGCGGTTGTCATGCTGGGCAACCCTATCCTTCACCTCCTTTATCTCCTTCCTCAAGGTAGCGTGAAGGTCCTTCATGAGGAGCATCTGCTCTTCCAATCGACGCGCCTGTTCCTCTTGTCCACTCCGTAGCTGCTCTTCCAATCGGCGTGCCTGTCACGCCTGCTGGTGGGCCTGTGCCTCCTGCTGCTCTTTCAACCAACAAAAGTGTAATTAGTATAAACATTTAGTTACATTACATACTATATTATTACATACATATTATAATAAATCCAAATATATTTTGTACCGTCCATAATATATTTTGTTTAATATAACTAAAAAAACCTTTAATAGGCCTTACATTTAAGCTGTATACTTTAAGTCCTTAAAATTGTTAAATCGCTGTTGGTTTTTTTTAATAAATAAAAAAAATAGGAAAAAGTACAAAAAAAAACGTTGAAACGTTGGTATTTAAATTAATAAACGGATGGACCTTACCTTATTCTACCCATAACTTATTAACCTTACCTTACCTATTTATTTTTTAATTATTTATTAATTTCAGAAATTCAATTTGGTGAAAATACGTAGGTACTTATCTGAACCATGGTAGTTCAGGGTCAAACTAACTCGCTTTAAATTTCCTCAGTACGCGAGCAACGGGTTGGATCTACGCTAATGCCTATGAAGTTGATAAATGCAATTTTAAGCACTGATTTACCATTCGGAGGTGAAGAAACGCACATTGTTAGAAACCTGCATTCCTGAAAAATAAAATCAAAAATATTTTCGAAGACGTGAAGTGTGCCAACACGCATCGGGGGAGCGAGGCGGACAATGTTTTGGCCTAAAACCCTTTCAGAAATTATAGGAGGCCTTTGCCAGGCAGTAGAACGTATATAGGCTGTAACCTTACTTTACTTTACTAAGTACTTTAATAGTTACATATATATTATTATAAATTAATATTGTCTTTGTCAATTTACGCCAAGTATATCGGAAACGGGCGAAAATCATCGAGACCCAAATTCCGGGATTGTGAACTATTTATACATAATTAATTTAATTCGGAACCCTCAGGGCGCGAGTGCTACTCGCTCTTGTTCGGT